TCTTGGTTTCAGTTGTATATGATTGCCTTGTTTTCTTACTGTTTGTTGTGAAAGTGTTTAGAGTGTTGGTTTTAATTACCTTGTCACTCTTATGCAGCAACAAACTTGTTCAAGATGCTTCTGAAGTATAGGCCAGAGGATAAAGCACAGAAGAGGGAGCGTCTTTTGAAGAGAGCGCAGGAAGAGGCCGAAGGCAAATCACATGATGCGAAAAAGCCTATTGTTGTTAAGTATGGTCTCAACCATGTAACCTACCTCATCGAGCAGGTGAACTTCTATTCGTATTCATACATGTGAAACGTTTCACTCTTTTCAATTGCAATGTTTATCCGTGATCTGATACACTCCTGTATTTATAACTGCCATGTAAAATTTACTTTCTTTTTAGAACAAGGCACAGCTCGTTGTGATTGCGCACGATGTGGATCCGATTGAGTTGGTCGTTTGGCTCCCAGCTTTGTGCAGGAAGATGGAAATCCCATATTGCATTGTGAAGGGAAAAGCAAGATTGGGAGCGGTAACCTTTTTCTTTTCGTTTTCCCGAACGCACATTTCCAATTCTATTAATCCCAGGAACAGCTGTTTGAAATTTGTTTCCTTTTTATAGATTGTCCATCAAAAGACTGCATCAGTTTTGTGCTTGACAACTGTAAAGAACGAAGATAAGTTGGAGTTCAGCAGAATCCTTGAAGCGATAAAGGTGACTAGCACATTTAAAACATATGCTACACTTGACTAGTCCATCTATGTATAGCTTTTCTTAATACCATTGCTGCTCTGTTCTGTTTGTGAAGGCCAACTTCAACGACAAGTACGACGAGTACAGGAAGAAGTGGGGCGGTGGAATCATGGGTTCTAAGTCACAGGCCAAAACCAAAGCAAAGGAGAGGCTCCTTGCCAAGGAAGCTGCTCAAAGGATGTCTTAGGAATTCACAGGCCAACACTAGAGCAAAGAACAAAGGAGAGAAGCTTTTAGCAGAGCCAGAGGATGTCAAAGGATGGCTTAGGAATCGGTAACGAGCTCGTCTAACTTAAATCAATTATCTTCGATTAAAAAAAAGGATCGACGAGGCTTGTCATTTTTATTTTCAGCTTTAAGTTTATTGGATTGAGAAAGTTTAGTTTGTTCTACGAGTTCTACATGTTCAAAGCAAGACCTTATGAAGTTATTCTATTTGGACGCCACTTTTTTTTGCTTGAACTGTGTGTTATATGACGTTTGGCCTTAGTTTTGAATGAAGCCTCCTATTACTTGACATAATACATGAGACAAAAAGTACGACATAGAATCGATTCGACTCTTTAAGAGCATTTTTCGGGACAACTTTGAAGGTCCTAGAACAACCCTTTCAAGGCTCTAACATAATTATGTGTAATTTGAGCTCTTTCTTCTAATATAAATGAGCAAAAACAACAGGATATACAGAATCATGATGGATTCTGATCAGGGAGAGGAAAGTTTAACCTCTTGAAACAGGTAAAGCTGCCATCAACCACCAAATTGTGCCCACTTACATACTTTGCATCATCAGATGCAAGATAAAGTGCAGCATTGGCTATATCATTAGTCTCACAAACTGCCCCTTCCAAAGCACTCAAATCAAATATCATCTTCTCAAGTTTCTCCTTCTCAGTTCCAGGAAAAAAGCGACACATTTCGTTGATAGAAAATGGCGTCGGGATCGCAAATGGTGATATGCAATTCACTCGAATACCATATTTACACAACTCCGATGCCATGGACTTGACAATACCGATAACAGCGACCTTCGACACAGAATACGTATGTTGAGCTAACCCACCCATCACTCCCGTGACACTAGCCGTGCATAAAATTGATCCTGATTGTTGAGGGATCATAACACGAGAGGCGTGCTTGATACCAGCTACAACACCTCGGACATTAATGTTCATAACTTTATCGAATATGGCAAGGTCGAGGTCCAAAATGCTTGGAGGAGTATTGCAAGCAATCCCAGCATTGTTGTACATTATGTCAAGCCTTCTGTGAAGAGAGAGAGCGAAATCTACAGCATCAGAGACATTGGCCTCGTTGCTGACATCACAAGGGATGAAGGTAGCGTTGGGGCCGAGCTGCTTGGCCGTCGCTTGGCCAAGCTCTTCCTCGACATCCGCCAACACAACTTTGGCTCCATTGCTTATGAATTTGGATGCCGTTGCCTTCCCAATGCCGCTGGCTGCGCCTGTAATCAGCGCAATCTTGCCTTCAAGCCTGCATATCCCAATCCAAATCTAACCCATGTCAAGAACATTGAAGGTTTTGGAAGAGAGTATAATAAACAAACTCACCTTCCAGCATGGGAAGACAATCCCCTATTGAAGAAGCTCAAAGTAAGCGAATTCCTTACGAGATGACTCCGAATCATGGCGTTTCAGAAGGTTTGAATGAGGAGCTCGGATGGGGCTTCAATGGCGGATTCAGAGTGATCCCATTTGAATAACTTAGGAAGGGAATGGGGAAAAGGTACTTTTAAAAACAGGGGAGTTGATAAGGAATCTTGTTTGTAGCTTTGACTTTTCTGTTTGGGTCATTAATGTCTTGGATGAGTTGTATAGTGAAGAGGGCACATTTGTTCGTGTGTAGTGACCCATCTGTCTTTTGGATTCTTGGTAAAATCCAAAACCCAGAAAGCAAACAGGATTCGCAGCCAATAAGTTCGATGAGGTGATGAGGTGTAAACGAAGAAAATTGCACGTTTTGTGGATTCTTTTAAGAATTACAGATGGTTTTGTTTCATTTGGAACAAAACTGAATCTCAAAGGGTGCCATTCATTCATCCATCCTGACAATGTGTTTGTAACTGCCTAGCCCCTTTCTCTTTCTTTCGGCCTTCTGTTAGGGAGATGTTTCTATGGACAATATTTCGTTCCCCTCTCTACCCGATACGAGATCTCAAAATCTATCCTCTTTTAGGGCCCAACGTCCTCACCTAGTTGCCCTCTTCATTCGATGTGGGATCTCACAATCCACCACCGTTTGGGTCCAATGTCCTCACTAACACATCATTTGGTGTCTACTCCTTTGAGGCTTAGTGTCCTCGCTGGCACACTGCCTGATGCCCACTCCACTTCGTAGCTTAAGGCCCTCACTGGCACACCGCTAGTGTCTGGCTTTGATACTATTTGTAACCGTCCAAAGTCCATCACCAGCGGATATTGTCATATATTAGCTTTCTTTTTTAGGTTTCTCTTCAAAGTTTTTAAAACGCGTCTGTTCGAGAAAGGTTTCTACATCCTTATAAAACATATTCGGTTTACTTCTCTAACCAATATGGGATCTTACTTGCCGTTGATAGGGGTTGTTACGGTGGAGTGGTCGCTATGCTATGGGGGAAATGTATACCTGAACAGAACCCACCCACCCTTGTGTAGTGAGATTCTTGGCAGCCCATTTTGGAGGGGCTTTGAGGCTGCCTATTGCCTTCCATTACCCACACATTCATGTCTATCGAACATTGGGGCTTGAATTAAACATGTTTGGCTTCAAACAATCTTATGTTTGGTGATTTATTAAGAATTTTTCTAGAACTCGTGTGAGTGAAGACAAAACATGTTGATGAAAGGACTCGTGTTAACGTAACCTTGTTGGAGTCATCAGGCACTAAACTTAGATTACATATCTTGATCTATATCCTAAACGAAGGATTCGTGTCGGTCTGTACATAGAGTATTCGCTCTTATATTCCAAATTATGATCTAAATCATGGACAAAGAACCTTTATTGCGACCATGTCCGAATCATAATCTGAATGAAAACAATCATGAGGATAGAATGACTAAGAAAGACATAAAAGAACTTAAAGTCACTACCTATACCAATGAGATGCAGCTCTTTTTTCAGTGACTCAATCATAGTAACTCCAAAGTTAAACGTACTTTGCTTGAGTGACATCTTAAGAATTTTTCTAGAATGCATGTGAGTGAAAAAAGTCTTCGAGCTAGAAGTAAATAATGTGACAATGCATGTCGGGATATGCAGGTGCAAAATCTCATTACATTTTTCTAAATTCACGTCATATTATATTACATTTTATACGTTTAGGTTATTTTATAAAATACTAATTATTTTTAGGACCATGCCAATAAATGTATAAGTTTTTATTTTATGGATATACATTGTATCTCCAAAGTTCAAATAATTGAAGTACATTTATTTTCCTATATCTAATTGGCTAGCTTTTCAATAATTAGGTTCCAAATAATTTGATGGTAGACTTAAATAATTCTTAGTCTTTCATCATTAATACCGTGTCGATAGAAGACGAGCTTCTTATCTATAGTAATAATGTCTATTTAATTTGTAGGATCTGTCACGAACAAGTAGAGAATTCTTGTTTTCGGGCCATAAAAAAAACCTCAATTTAATTTAATTTTAAATATTTAAATTATATATTTTATATAAAAAAAATTGTATTCCATAAAATAATTAATTTTAAAAAAAATGATGATATTTATTTTTGAAAAAAAAAACTTGTCGAGATTGTCATTGGTCATGTTCGAGTGTCCATGTTCGAGTTGGTCACTAGTGGCTATTGTGTCGAGATTGTCACTAGCAATAGTTGTGATCGAAAATGATTGTTGATGATAGTCCTAAGAGTTTTCGCTCGAGTTAGTTGCCGACAATAATAGTCGAGGTAGAGTCGACAATAATAGTCGAGGTAGAGTCGCCAACAATGATAATAGTTAAAAAAATATTTATATCAAAATAGTCCTTTTTTGAAAAATATTTATATAAAAATAGTCCTTTTTTTAATTACCACAAATTTCCTGGATACAAAATAAAGCCAAATATGATTGCAATTTTACCCCTGCCCCAACTTTTTTAACTTTTATGCCCTCCAAAATTTATTACTTTTAATATAAGGATCACACCTAAAGAATCATAATAGTATCCCTAATATATATATATATTAAATATCATAAAAATAAATAAATAAATAAATAAATAAACTTCTCAATTTCCCCCTTATTCTTCATTATTTGCATTTGTACCCTTCAACTCTTCCTTATTTCCACTTGTACCCCCACTCTTCTTGCTCTTTAAACCTCCTCAAAACCCTATCGACGGCCACGTCGAAGGCATCTCTGACAGCGCCGGTGCCGTAAACGAACTTCGGTATCGACTCGATTACTCTCTCTCTCATCTCTCTCACTTCCTCTCTGCTAAATTTCTCCAGAACCGCTTCAATGGAGGTGGTCCCGTTCTTCACGGCGTTCCGGTCTATGAAAACCGAGTAACTCTCCGGTTTGCCTGGTAAGAACCACTCGTACTGGTAATACGCTGTCCGCCGCCAGAAGAACACTGGAATCGCTCCGGCCACCATACAGTCGAAGATCGACCGCCGCGTGAAGCTGTCGCCTCTTGGCTGCAAGCAGAAATCCGAATTGAGAAACGATTCGAGTATCGCCGACGTGCCATTGGAGCAGCGGCTACCGGCACAGTCGACAACGCGGCATTTCTCCGCCGTGGAATTCCGGCACTGATCCAGCAGGATCCCCCGAAAGTCATTACGGAAGGCGGCGCGTTTGGCGCCAGCGAAGCAGAAGAGGTGCGTACGACTGCGCGTGCGGACGAAGTCCTGCCAGGCCGACATGTCGTCCTGGCTACTGGGGTGGAATCCTGTGGGGTAAGGTACACCGACGTCAAAATAGTCCCACGGATTTCGCTCTATCAGAAGGCGAGTAATATTTCTCATTCCCGGTAAATAAATACACCTCGACCCCCAATCCTCATCACTGCTGCGGCGGAAATCCCATGTGATGCGGCCCATTGTAATGAAATGATCCCAGCCGTTTGATTTCTTATAGTACTCCTGATCGGAAAGCCACCTTAGAATCATACGGCAGTGATGATCCCGAGCCTCCGCGCTCGAAGCCGTCCATAGGAATTTCCCCACTGCGAGTCCAGCGTAAAACGGTACATAAAACGCCGTAGCAGATTCCGGCTCCTTGACACGGCATTTATGCTTCATTATCCGATTATGGAAAATGATTTCCGTTACGAATTGGTCCGTCCAATACCACGACGCCAAGAGATTCTCCGGTATCACTCCGGCGAGAGAATCAGCTCTCTGCCCGAACCCGCCGTTCACCATCGCGCTACAACTTGAACTCCACGGGTTCAGACTGTCGCAGTTTTGGACAATGTCTTGGTTAAATTCCGTCGGCAGGTCGTAGACGAAGATCCGGCCATTTTTGCAGTGATCGCCGTCGGTAGAGGCGGGAGAGACGGCAGCGGAGGGGAAGCGATGAAGGCGGTTGGCGGCAGAGGAGATTGCCGGCGGGAGAGGAAGAGGAAGAGGAAGAGAAAGGAAGCGAATAATGAAGAGGAGGAGGATCTGGAGGCAAAGGATTGTGAGGAGAAGCCATAGACAAGATTGTTGATGATGAAATTGCTGTAACAACGAGTTGAACGAGTTCTTTCTACCGAACAACTCGTAGGATTTCAATTTCCTCGGATGATGCTCCGGCGAGGAGTTGCCGGAAAGAGGAAGCATTAGAATAAAATAAATCAGACTTTCAATGGCGGCCTCCGGAAGAAGGATGGCGACTGTGAGCGCCGCCGTGGACCGTCACCGGCAGAGGAGATTTAGGTTTAGACAGGGAAGAGGGTGAGGAGTTGTGTGAAGGAGGCGTAAATGAGGGGCTGAAATTTTATGAAGGGAAGGGAGAGGACACGTGTCGAGTAGTGTTACCGGCTGAGGGAGCAACCGACAGCGTAATAAGTTATTTGCGACCGACAACTGACGGTTTCCATTTTTCGTTCGCACAACGAGAACGTTGACGTACAACGTGAGGATTCCGTGGACTTCTCCGTTAATTTTTGGAAGCGGCGTGGGGGAATATCGGTAAAAAAGTAAATCTACCGTGATTTTGTCTAAAACCACTTAAGGTAAAAAAATGATTTTGTTTTAACCATTTAAGGTAAAAAATGAAGAAGAAAGTAAAAGGTAGTTACATTTATAAAGGAGTTTTCAATTATATTATTATTTATTTTAATAAAATAATAAAAGGGAAAAAAGAGGTAATAAAATAAAATAAATTAGGAAAATACGTATCGAAAATAAAAAGAAACAGGTAAGAAACCCAGGAAAAAACGTTGAATGGGGATGACGTCAGAGTGCCACGTGGATGTTAGCAAAATTACGAGAAAAAAAAAAAGAAAATATTATTATTAAGGAAGTGGGGCCAGGTGGACGGACGTCGTGTAGAATATTAAATGAAGTTAGTGGGTGAGGTGGTGTCCGGGGAGATAGCTGTAAGGAAGAGCGGTGGTTCTGTTCCATCAAACTGGTTTTGTGGCTTTTGCTTATGGATTTTCAATTTTAATTTCTAATTAAATTGGTCCCAATAAAAATAATTATATATATATATAAAATTTATGGTCAAAATTGGGAAACTCATCACCGACAGAATCGGTATTTTCTTAAAAAAATATTATTGAAAAAATTAATTTTCCTTCCACTTTACTTCATTGTCACACTGTGTGTCTGAAAAGGAATGTCAAAAGTGTAATTTTGTAATTTTTATTTATTTATTTATTTTAGTGTATGTAAATAATAATAATAATTATTATTATTTTAAACATAATAATGACTAAGGAATAATATAACCTGAGGTAAGAAAAGGAAAGAAAAAGTAATTATATAACTCAATTAATTAAAGTTTACATTGAACTTGTTCACATCATTTATTTATTTTTTTAATAAAAGTATAAGACATTTATTTATTATTGTCAGATATTTAATTAAAATTTTTTATTCAATTTTAATAATATTTGAAAAAATTACCTTCTAAATATATATATATAAATCATTTTAAAGAGTTTTGAAGAATAAATAAAAATAATAATAATTATGAAATTATATATGTATATATACGCAATTAAAAAGGTAAATATTAAAATTGCAGTAAATTCAAGCCCAATTTAGTTTACTACGATTTACTTAAAAATTCTGAATCTATAGGACGTTACTAAAATTTTATTAAGATTTAGCGGAATCTAAATCAAATCTAGAATTTTGATGGAACGTTTTACTAGTAGTAGAATTTGCGAATGAGAGCAATTTTGAGAATAGAAGGACTAAAAACGACTTAAAAAAATTGAAATATAGCAATAAAGATCAAACGTTTATGGGGCGGTGGGAGTTGTATGCAAGATTTGAAGGGTGATAAGGAGTAAATTGATAATCTTATAAAGATGAGGGATGGGAATGCAAATAAAAGTAGAATGATTTGTTGACAGTAATCCAATTGAAACTCAAGAACAGAGAAGAAGTTGGAAGAAAAAACATGAAAGAGTGTGTCTCTATTGCTTCTTTAAGAGCAAAGGGCCGACATTATCTCCGGTGGCCTTGTTGTGCTTAACATGGCTTCCATCACACAGAGGAAATGTGGCTGACCTCCAACATCTGCAACAAAACTTGTTTATTTCAGCTTAGTCCCTACTCTGTTCATAATTTTCAATTTAGTCCCTTAACTTTCAACATTTTTCTCCGTACTTGTTTAAAAATAATGGGTACCTGCAATAGGGTGTGAGGGGCTTGGCAAGGTCGGCGACAACCACGGAGTCCACCACTTTGTCCTCGCTCTTCCTGATTGCTGGGTTTATGGCTTGGCCGCCTTCGGCTCTGACCACCACCACCATGCGCCGCCGCGGCATTCCGCCGACGGTGAAGTTACCGTGGGGAGGACGGGTTGTTGGTAAGGCGGAAGTGGCAGGAAGCGAGGCCATTGGAGGAGCAGAGGAAGGGTGGTGATGTGAGTGAAGGAAATGTGGTAATGGATGATGAACGTGTGGAGGGCACGGTTTAAAGGTGCCTTAAACCGGCCTAATCGGTGGATCTCCCTTTGACACGTCCTTCTTCCCTAATCCAAACAACATAATATAATCTCTATTTTTTAAAATTAATCGGTAACCAACCGAGTCCATAAAAAGAGTCCAACGACCTAAGGATGACTATTTGAGATTTTTCAACTACAGGCCTCCGCTCTACCATCTGAGCTAAGGTCGGCCATCGTTCTATTGTTATCTAAATGTGCAAAGTTTATTTACATAAAATTAGGAAGTAATACTTTGAGAATGCATGCATTCTAGTTAAATTACTTCCTGGGTGGCTAGATTTGAAACATCTTGTTACTTAGGAAATTAATCGTACATGTGATGGACTTGCTACTTTTGATTTTTGTATTTTTAGTTAGAATGTTATGTGACTCAAACAATATCAAAGAACTGGAGTTTGATACGCTGCTCAAAATCCTACCTGACCAGTTCACTAACCCACGACACGCATCCCATGACTGTAGCTCTGCGAGGCGTGTGGTAAGTGTGTGTAGAGAACTTTTTTTGTGCTTGAATAGCGGCATGGTTTATCTTTGATTATGAAAGCAATGAATGATGGCTAAATATCCAAGTGGTTGTAGTTTAGTGGTGAGAATTCCACATTGTGGCCGTGGAGACCTGGGCTATGCTTTTTTTTTTTTAGCTACAAACTATTGAAGCATATTAACATAATTCACAACCACGCTTAGTACTACTCAACATTCATCAAAACCACTACTACTACAAAAGTACTCACACAAAAGTACTCTACTAGAAGTGTTACCCTTTAGAGTACTACTCAAAATTGGCTCGGTCCTGTTTCGGGTAGTGGCGCATTAGTTGAATTCTTATTGAATTAACTAATGAAATAATCCCAAAGATAGAGACAACATTGAAAGATAGACCGACGTTGACTCTATTACGCCGTTCTCCAGATAAGGTAGTTTGGAACAAAGGGCTTGCTCCGCCTTACTACTCTGATCAAATGCTGGGGAATACTTTTCGAATGGAATAACGAACATAAGTTTCAATCCGAAGGAAGCTCTACTTTTGGAGTGGTGTACCCACAATTTTGATTACCCAGAGATTGTGTGTGTAATACACATTGTTTATTACCCACATGGCGTATTACCCACATGGCGTATTACCCACATGATGTGGGGTAGTCAAAGTTGGAGTCCTTGGAACCAGTCTATTACAGAGCAGCTAAAATCCCCTTTTATAGAGTTTCCTCGTTGTTATACGGATACACTCTCATTAGGAAAATTAAATTGCCTTAGTTCGAACAACTAACAATAAAATGAGAATATATTATGAATAAAATGAACTAAGGCAATTTATTCCATTCGAAAAGTATTCCCCAGCATTCGAAAAAGTATTCCCCAGCTTTCGAAAAAGTCTTCTCCATCTTTTCTTTCTAGACGAAGTCGACGAAGGTCGATAACTCACCCGTGTGATTCTCATCATTCTCATCCAATGGAAGGTAAAGAAGAAAACAAAGACGATAACTCACCCATGTCATTCTCATCCAATGGAAGGTAAAGAGGATAACTCACCCGGACTGAATTTTAGACCTGTTGTCTCAACGATGTGTGATCTTGTCTCATACCTCCAGCATTTGATCAGAGTAGTAAGGCGGAGCAAGCCCTTTGTTCCAAACTACCTTATCTGGAGAACGGCGTAATAGAGTCAACGTCGGTCTATCTTTCAACGTTGTCTCTATCTTTGGGATTATTTCATTAGTTAATTCAATAAGAATTCAACTAATGCACCACTACCCAAAACAGGACCGAGCCAATTTTGAGTAGTACTTTAAAGGGTAACACTTCTAGTAGAGTACTTTTGTAGTAGTGGTGGTTTTGATGAATGTTGAATAGTACTCTAGGGTAACAGAAAGCGAAGAAACTTGTAACATATTAACCTAAAATAAAAGGGTATTTTAGGAAAATTAAATTAGGCTCAGCAGGGGGAGAAAGGGGAAATGAAACCAATCGTAGTCTTTCAATGAATATGGCAGGCTTGTTGTAACCATTTCGTCCCCCTTCCTTATAATTATTTTCTCTAATTTCTTTCTTTCTATATATATATATATTCATCATTTTTTTTAATTAAAAAAGGTGGGTGAAGGTGGAGCTTCAACACTTTAGCTTAGGGAGTTTGTCGTGATGGGAAGGCAGCCAGCCTTGTGACAAACTTGGTGTCATGCTGCAAGACAACAAGCTTGTTACCTTCATCATCACCTATGGCCATTGCTGCTGGAGGGCTCTCCCTAAGCTCACTGACCTCCTCCGTCGCTGCGGTAAGAGCTGTCGCCTCCGCTGGACCAACTACCTCTGTCCCGACTTGAAGCACGACCTCTTTGATGAAGCTGAAGAGCAATGCTCGCCTTGGCAACAGGTACTATAACTAGAAGGCTAGAAGGCTCAACACCAAATTTTACGCTCTAACTTTTTAGAACTTGGAACAAACTTTCATATAAACTTTCATATAAACTTTAATATAAGACGAAGTAGAGACAATTGAAGGTTTTATTGGGAGCCGAAATTTTACATTCTAACCTTTTAGAACTTAAAAGGACAAATTCGAAAAAAACTTTAGTTTAAGACGAAGTAGAGGCATTGTCTCTCTTCTTCCTTTTCTGCTTTGACCCGAACACATTCATTTTTGTTGATTTCAGATGGTCAAAGACTGCAGCGATCTTACCGGAAGAACAGATAACGAAATCAAGAACCACCGGAACAAGAAGCTCATCAAGATGGGGATAGATCCGGTCACAACCAAGCCTCTGCAGAAGAAAGAAACAGAAAGTTGCAGCCAAGGAAGCTGCACTGATTCCTCAGCCGCCATATCTCCATTAACAGAAGCTAATTATTGCACTGAAAAAGATGAGCCATTAACAAGCCAACATACGTGTATGGAGGCTCTTAAAGATGATTCCAACATGGGGCAGCAAAATCTACGGTGATATTGGCTCATACAGTGATTACCAACAGCCCCATTGAATAAAAAAAATCCTTCAAACAGCACACTGGAAAATGTATGATCTTTAAAGACTTCAGGATTCAGAAAACTGAGCACAGAAATTTCCAGGTACTGAGTTAAATTTATTACTTCAGATTGAAAATACATATCCTCAGTTTAAAATAGAAAATCTATTTACACAGTTCTGAAAATGAAATACTATGTACATCTTAAGAAATGGCTACATAAATATGTGGGCTCCTGATAGTAATAATATAAGAGTTAAAAAGCCTAACTAGAGCTGCCTATGCAATAAAACAAAACGAGTAAGCTTTGAATCTTACCAGTTGTTGGGAAGCAAAAGATGATGAAGATGGAGCAGCCAAATATGGTGTACGTAAATAGCTTCATCAAGGAAAGGATGGTCTGGTTATATCTGGTGAGTTTTGGCTGCTCTTCACCACCAAATCATAATTGATGGAAGCCAACTGTGATAAATTCTGCAAAAGCAAAACAATGAAGTTGCTGCATCATATTTTGATCTTTCTTTCAAGCCAGCACCAAAGTGACATTATTCATACAAATACGGTAACAGAAAATAAAATATTTATACATAAATTATCATTCCAATTTCTATATTCTTTTTTTCAACTTCTAATATGTATTGGTCTTTGTTCAAGTAGTACCCTTGCTTCTATAATGTTAAAAAAAAAGTACCAATTTTGCTGCTTCAAAAGATAATTAACTTACGAAACAAAATAAATATGCAACGATTAAGATTAAAGAATAAAAATAAAAGAAAAAACAAGAACATAAAAGTGGTAAAAGTATAAAATTAAAGCTCCAAATTTATCGACTTTATCAACTTGTAGTCAAATATTTGAAACATTAATTTATATATAAAAGCAGCTAAGCTCTGTTTCTTTGGAAACCCAATCAACAAAGAACCATAAAAGAATTGAAGCCTTCGTTCTAAATAATCATAAGACATCAACACCATGAAAATATCTTTTATGACAATAAGAGAATTTATAGGCCTGGCATGCCTTACCTTGAAAGAGAAATTGCTGAACGAGTACTTCACAGAAAGGGCTGGTGTACAGAAGTCAGCCAAACTACCACATTCGTCTCCCTGTTTCAATAGCATCCAAGAAATCAAAGTTACTCAATCAGACTAAAACCTCCAGCCACATCATACAACAGACGGTTGAATTATACTGAACTAGATTCTATATGATGAAAATTTTCTACAATGAACATCTACTTTTGTTTCAGCTGTTATAGATAGGGTAGTTCTCGGCAATGTTTACATTGAACCCAAGAGAACCGGTGAAGAGGGGGAGAAAATTCATGCCGCCATGAATAATGTTATACCAATGAAATTTGTTTCCCTTCTAAAAAAATAATACCACTATCTAATATGTGCATCTTTTGTTTCAATATAAGTATCATTAATCAAATTTGACATCCGTGCGTCCATGCAAATTTAATACAGATCCATGGTTGCCGTCAACCAAATATGGGATTTCTTTAGTTAATGAATAGCAGATAAAGGGTAACAGAAATGATTTAGTTTATTAAAAGCATATATTCAAGGCGAACTATTATAATGCAAGCTTACATCTTCATCTTGTAGGTTGCTAAATGAACTACTGCTGGTATCTGTCAAATCATGATCATCAAAGTCACTAGCACCATTAAAATCCTCGTCTTCTGGATTCCATATATATCGACTCATGAAATAACTTGTATCATGTGGCTCTGCTGATGGTATAAACATGGCCTGTATTAAAAAATAAAAACTTCTTTTCAGATTCATAAATATATAATAAAAAATTATGTCAACAAATGCTTCCATGTACGATGATGAATACCTTCTGCCTTGCAAGTGTTTCCCAATTAATATCCTTGAAGAAAGGATGTTGCTTCACCTGACAGACGATAACAGTTCTCTATCAATTCATTTCATAAATCATAATTATGTAGCAAAAATACTGTTTTATAGGAATTAAATAATTACCTCTCTGGCTCCTGTAGCTCCCAGTCTTTGAACTGAATTTTCAGTCAGCAATCTGAAATATAGTGTATTAGCGTTTATAGTTAACCTAATCTCTACGCTATTATCATTCTTGAAATAGACATAAATTAAATTTCTTTCATCACTTAAAGAAAATAGTAAACAGATTGTGTTAAAGATACTTGATTCAAATGAAAGTTTATAGTCCGTTACTCGTCAAATTCTTCTGTCAACTACAATTCATCCAAAATTCAGGTTTGACACGTATAGTAAAGAACCTCAGACAAAAAATATGGTTAAAAAAACTTGAAAATGATTGACACTATTATTACTAATTGTCAAATGTGAACGACCTTGTATAAAAAACATGCTCCAAAAACTCGCTAAATTATCCTATGCCAAATCTGAAATTATTCAATTTAGTTGCATCCATCTCATTAGTTCATAGTACAGACAATATAACACTGAAATTAAATATATGTACGTACAAACATATAATAAATATATATATATAAAGAGGATCAGATAAGATTGTGCCTGATTCACTGCCAATTAATCCTACTTTAACTTTGAGAAGGAACAAACCAGTTAATACGATACAACTTAGCTGCTATTTGTAATGTTAAATTACATTTTTAATCATTATTTCAGTACAAAAGGGGTTTACAATTATTACACTAATTAGTTTTGTTTTTTCAAAAAAATATATTTTATCATGTTCCAATGTCGCAATATTAAGAATTGTCAAAGAGTACTACGATGTCATTATCTCATTCTACTTTTCCTTTCTGCATGTTAAATCCAAAATATCATATTCATACGTTATTTCACATTCTATATTTAGATCATTGATGGAGTGCTTTTTTGCATCAATTTAATATGAGAACAAGGTTTTCATTGAGGATTCAAAGTCGAATATTCAGCTTCTCTTTTGCAGTTTAAATCTTCTCATTAGTATTTCTCATCTTGGATTTTTACAGCTATTTTCTTAATGACATTTGTGATAATTGGGAGGCTTTTTTCATAGGATCGATTCCTCTTTCTTTATAGTATTTTATCTTTCTTAATTTACACTTCCTAAGCATTGAATTCTTGTACTCTCCGTTAGCTTCTCAATGCCTAATGAAAGTTTCGTTTCTAGTTTTTTTTTTTTTTTAATAGAAGAAATAAATCAAACAATCATTAGATGCAGCAAAACTGAAAGTTAATTACGATAAGATGTTATATCCTAATAGATTTCAAGGAATCTTACTTGTCAATCAAATCCTGGGCTTCATAACTCATCTCGTCCGGTACCTTGGGCCATGGTATGTCTCTATTAATGATATTATCAAAAATTAGCTGCAATGGAATAATAACTCTTTTGTCAATCAAAATGTTGTGCAGTTATCGAGTAAAACCAACCAACAAAAGCTACAAAGCCAGTACAGAATTTTGAAGTCCTGATCACATGCTATTATTTCTAAGAAGAAAACCTTTACCAAAAGAGAAAGGAATGCAAACACATCAAGGCCAAACCTATCCAACAAAGGGTGGCGTAGCAAAGTTAAATGAATTGGAATACCTGATAATGAGAAGGTGGTACTCATGGGAGTATCAACAACCATATATCCTCCCAAAAGCAAGTTGTTGAATCATTCCCAACAAAACATTCTATGAAATTAGAGAAAAAGGGACCACCTAAAAGACGATTTTTCAAGGGTTTCTAAACGTGCCTTTCAATCCCCCCAACCGTGGTCCATTTGAAAGGTTATGGAACATACTTGCTCACCATAACCTTATGCCGCAGAGAATTTGACTTCAAAGAAAAAAGCCACAACCATTTAGCTAGAATAGCCACGGTAAGAAGTCTAAGATTGCCTATGCTTAACCCTCCAAGTCAACTGGTCTCGATGTCACCTCCCAACTAATCAAATGGGGACCTCCATCCTCCTCAACACCTTCCTCCCACAAAAAAATCTCCAAAAGCTTCTCCTAACTTTTACTAACAGAAACAAGAATTCTAATCACAGAGAGGAAGTAGATCAGGATGCCACTTAAAACTGATTTATAAGAGTCAATCTACCTTATCTGAAGAAGAAAACCCTTTTCTAGGATACAAGATGCTTTTAGACGGATTCAAGGAGCTCCAAAATGAGGCCCGCTTGGGATAATAGCCAAGAGGGAGATCAAGATAAGAGGTGGCAAATTACCTACATCAGCCATCTATGCAGATTGAAACATCACATATGTATGACTTCTTTAATACAATATGATTTTATCCTTGAAATATAATGTTTATTGCCTCCAAAAATGTATAAAATGAGTGCTGTCTTTTAGGAAAATCAAAACATCCCATGTAATAATTTCAAGCTGGGCCAGGTTGTTGAGATTTAACCGTTGGAATTAGGTGGTTAGTTAGGCTTGTTTAGCTGCTTTATTAGTATAAATATCCATTGTTTAGGTTGTATGCGTTCATTCCTGATTAAATAAAACTTGGAAAAGAATTACGCATTCAAAATGATAATTAGCCTTGTATACTGCATGTTCCATTAGAAAGTTAAGAATACCAGTTGCAGGTTCAACCTGTGGACTTTCTGCATTGAACGGCGGTAGTCCTACAAGCATCTCAAAAAGAATTACTCCAACAGACCACCAATCCGCAGTTACACCTGCAGGAAACAAGTTGAAAAACAATAAAAACATAATAAGGATTTATTCAGAATAATTCACAATAGTTCTTGTTAGAAGGATACTACGCCTATTGGTTACAGACCATGTCCCATGCCCAGAAGTATCTCAGGGGCCAAATAATCTGGAGTACCAACAACTGAATGCTTTTGTCGGTGTTCTCTTTTTGACAAAGATTGAGATGTAGGTCCATTGTCTCCAAGTGGAACAGTTCCATTTATTGATGGACCTGAGAAATCATCTGTACTATTGATAAGACCAATCTTGGAGAGCCCAAAATCTGTCAACTGTAACAAAAAAGACAAGAGGTTTCTAAGAAGTGACGAGCAAAAACTATTGCAACGTCTCTCAAGAAGTTTTAAACGATAAGAGACAATGAACTGATAAAAGAACGTGATAAAAATGAGAGTATCCTTGACAGGAGAATTCACTCAAAACCTATGAAGAATCAAACAGTTTCTTCCTTGACTGCCGAACAAAAAGTTATCACATATATTCCGCTTCCACTTATGCTTGAAGATAATTTTTATAGCAGTGATGTCCTTACTGAACTAACTGTACAGTCCTAATATACTTTTTTTCCTTTTTAAGTTAATTTTCATCGATAAGAGTCCTGATTTTTCTCATTCCTCGATAATCTACAAAACTAATAGTAACTATACCAAAAAGTTACATACCGTTAATGATCCATATACTGCAAAACAAACCAATAATAGAATCCTAGAGATCAAACAAACAAGAAAAAGAAAGAACGGAAGTGTTTTAAAGAAGAAGTGAATTAGACATTCTGTTTGATCTTTAAATTTTTTCTACACGGGTGCGATATTTTCATCTTCAAACAAAGTCTCTCTACAAAGTTTCTCCCAATTGCCTCTAGACAAATACAAAATGAAAAAGCAATACTAATACTCATACATGAACCAAAGCAACACTACTCATACATGAATCAAGATGATTCATGTACCAATACGAGAGAATGTACCAATATGGGAAATGAACCAAATGAATCCAATAGATTCATGAATCAAAGTGGGAAATGTACCAAAAGTATTCATGAATCCAAGAGATTCATGAACCAAATCATCATGACAATTCTCAACAGATGGCTTTATCCCCACATTCAAATAGAAAACCTTGGACCTTATTCTTAAGAGATTCCTGGCAGCTTAATTGAAGAATAAATATATTGAGAATTTTTGCTGCAGAAACAAGCAAGATTGCAGTTGAAAAACAGATGGTTTCAATTCCCCATGCCAATTTTATTTTAACAAAGTGGTGAAAGGACAGATCTAGTAGAATTCCTCTTTTAAGCAAGGTATCTACTGATATCCTACGGACCAAAGACCCAAGGAAAATGACATTGAAACCTGTTCTTCCAAATGGCTATAATAAGAGAGCTGTTGGAAAGTTTTTCCTTATCCAAATGAAAGGTAAGATGGGCTCTAAAGGAAACTGATAAGAATATACGGATGAAAGGAAGAAAACAAGATAGAATATTATTGATAACTGACCATTAATGAATCACCATGGCCATCTGAGATGATCTCACTATCTACATGCACAACCCCCCCAATGGTTCTGGTCCCTCACAAGCATAAACATCTCATTAAAGATAAAAACACTTTTTCCCCAACTCACTATCCAAATATTCCTACTAATTTACCCCTGCTTAATGTACGTTCACTATTGAAGGCTGCAGACCTACAAAAATAATTTAGAATAAATCACCCACCTCAATCTTCTCCAAGTTAGACGCTTCCTTCAAGGTTTCAGGAAATGTTATTAGAATCCTAACAATCTGCCATAAAAAGCTACTAAGAAAGTGCCACAAGGATCAGTCGAGGGAAATTTTTTTTAGAACATTCGCATGACATCATAGAAACGTATCCAACCTTTCCCATTAAACTTACGGCTACAATCTCAAATAACTTCTCAATAGAATACGTGAGAAAGATATTTTTTCCAATGTCAAGGAATACCTCCTAAAATATGAACAACCTCGCATTTAAAATTTTGGAGAAGAAA